AACGCTCTACCTCCCCCTACCAATTTCCCTCTCAGCAACAACGACAATCCTACCCATCCTAACCCCCGATCCTCCTCTTCCTCGCCAGATTCCTCTCCAACCCACCCACAACAGGCACCAACACCCCGACCTTCCGGAACCGCTTCGTCGCCTCTGTAATCTCCTACCTGCTCACAATCCTCCCATCCGGCCTCGCCACCCTGGCCCTGACCTATCTCTTCGCCCCGGACCTCCTCGTCTGCCAGCTCAACAACCAATGGCAATCCTACTACCACAACAAGGATTCGCGCGCCATACGCGCCATCCAGGATAGCTTGCATTGCTGTGGATTCCGGAGTGTCAAGGACAGGGCATGGCCGTTCAAGGACAAAGACCACGGCGACGATGCCTGTGTGCGACAGATCGGGTATGATAGAGCTTGTTTGGGGCCGTGGGAGCGGGAGGATAAGAGCGCTGCGTGGATGGTGTTCTGGGCTGCGGTTTTGGTTTTGGTTGTTAAGGTATGTCCTATCTTCATTTATCCCAGTCTGTCTTTCTTGGCTCGGTGTCACAGACTGACTGTTACAGATTGCGAGCTCGCAGCTGAATCGCGGCCCGAGTTGGATGCGGAGGGCGGATGCGAGTCGCTTTATTAGGATTGCTGGTGCAGAGGACCAGGAGGAGGGTGAGGCGCATACAGGGGAGAATGGAAACGTGGGTGATGATCGGCCTACTCATCAGTTGCCGCAGCCGGGTCAGTCGACGCATGATGTTTGGAGATGATGCATACTGTACTTGATAGGCTGCACTGATAGTATGTGATTTGGATGTGAGATGGTTAGTTGATGCTTTCGGGTTATTTTGTTGGGGAGGATTGCGAGTTGTCTACAGCCCTTTGGCGTAAATTGGAAGTCTAGTTGAAAGGTTGATATGTGGCGTTTGGGACACGGCGTTCATACTGTCTGGTTGAGTATCTAGTCAATTTAAGAATGCACATGAAGGGAGTACTATTCATCTAGGATGCTGCTCATACGAAATTAGGATCCTAAGCCGTACAAGCAGTTCAAACATCCACTATACTACACATATTAGTTATCACCCTTTTAAATTACTCTCAGAAAGCAAAAGAACATTCTCCTTAGTATACTAAATGGAAGGATATGAAGCATGAGTCTCATATCCCGCAGTATTTCACTACAACCCTAATAAAGAGATATTTGAACCGACTATCGCTAGAACCAGTATATAAGCTTAGACAACCAGGATAGTCACAGAACAAAGTACCCCAGACCACGAAAATTCAGAGCCCACCCAGCTCCCCTTGATATTATTAGCAAGTATAAACTCGCTGAGCGATTGACCTGGGGTAAATGCGACGTCGATCTCTTGACTCGCTAGTGGGGAATGGGGATTCAGGTCCGCAGCCCTCCGAACACCAACGCCTTCGACATCGGGGGACGGATGTAGCGTGTCCGAATTATAGGGGATTAATAGTCGCTTAATATTGATTTACTAATTGAAGGACCGGTCTATGATATAAATCACATTCAGGAAGTTGTCAGCCAGGGCTAGTGATTAGAAATGCTTCGTCCTATTACATATTCGACTTCACATGTGTATCTATATAAGGTGCGGCGTTCAGGAACTTCATAGCAGTTCATGACTTCGATCCCTGTTTGATAGCGACATTGAGATTCTATTAATCAATTTCACACTATGGAATCCCGTTCCCTCCTTGTTACCGGCGTCTCCGGGTATATGTAAGAAACCCAGGTCGGATTCAACCCAACGGAACAAGGGTGCTAATTAAGTTCTCTCAGTGGAGGCACGGTTTTGTCCGCCATCTTGAAGACCAAAGATCCCTGGGGCAAGGATCTGAAGATATCAGCTCTGGTTCGCAACGAGGCCCAGGCTGCAAAGACCAGGGCGCTGGGAGTGACGCCAGAAGTATGCCCAAGCTTCGATGAGCTGGATAAACTGGAAAGCATTGGTGAAAAGTTTGATAGTATACCACCTATCTTTCTTTTGTCGTGCAGAGTTATCGCTAATTCCAATCAAGTCATCATCCACGCTGGGTCCGGATGGCATACGCCCTCTGCGAAAGCGCTGATAAAAGGACAAGGTACACGGCGCCAAAAGACCGGCACCAGGGTGCATTATATCCAGATCTCGGGCACATCCAATCTGAGCGATCGCCCGTATACAGAGGGGTATATCGACAACCACCTTTTCTCCGACGAAGAAGATATATTCTCGTATGAGAAATACAGGGAGTCTCGTGAAGTATACTTCCAACGAACCACGGATATTGCTGTGGTCGAGGATGGGGAGGCCTTTGGCGTGACCACTTACATTATAATCGCGCAGACCATCTTTGGTCTGGGAAGTGGCCCATTCAACCGCTTTTCCATGCAGCTGCCAATATTAATCACAGACGCCCTGCAAACCGGGGGTTGTAGTGTCGTTTCCCACGGTGACACAATCTACAACCACGTCCATATCGAAGACCTGGCCGCCCTGTATTTGATTCTACTCCGCAATATCTGCATGAACGTTACCATCCTTCTGGTCGCAAAGGGATCTATTTCTGTGAGAGTGGCCAGCACCCACACTTCGAGTTTTCGGAACGTCTGGCTTAGGCCGGTCACGAGTTGGGGGTTTTCTCATCCAGTGAGGTCGCGAAGATCACCATTCAGGAAGCGGGTGAGAAGTGGGTTTCTGGCAACACTGCTGGTGCTGAATTGGGGTTTGCGTCTAAGTTTGTTCCCTTTATCACTCTCTTCCCTTGCCTATGACTGTATTTGCTGGCGTTCGATGCCTTCTAATTAGCTCTCGTATTAAAGCCGTTCTTGCTCGAAAACTAGGATGGACTCCGTCGTATGCTGGAGAATGGGAGAAAACGTTCCGCACTGAGCTGACGGAATTTATCAAAAATCCTCCTGTTGGGCGAGATATGCCCAAAATACCTGAGAAATTTGATTTGTAGAGATTACGCTGAGGATAGGGTTTATGTTTGGATGGTCAACCAGGCATAGTCTCCCTCGCAGCAGCTTCTACGGCATTAGTTAGTTCAACTATACTCCATCTGCGTTCTATGCGCCGAAAGAGCTCTGTATAGCTTTCATATCTAATGACCTTGCTAATATGTGCTAGATATTTATAACAGATTATATGTAAGTTTTCGAGAAAGCGAACCTAGAAATTCCACAACACCAGGCCTTATTCTCGGCCATACTGAAACAACTTGTGTTAGCGAGGATGAAGATACGCAAGATACATAAAGAAGATGCCCTGACACTGCTGATGAAATTGTATCATCACCCCTGTTCAGCTTCCCCGCATGCCTGACTGATGTTCCTAGGCGAAATTGTCGGTTTCAGTACGAATCTTGATCAAGACAGGGCTCTTATCACTTGTAGTGCTGCAAGAGCAGCCATTACTGCCACTACATACTCGTTGTAAGGCATCCAGGAGGGATTCATAGTTGGATGCAGGCGAATGTTCAGAAATTTCATGATAGGATGTCAGATGGAATGTATACGCGCGGACAACAGCCCTTGAATTGCAATATCCTGTAGAGCATTAAGATAAAGTCGTCTTCCATCCATCACTACAGCCTTCCCGTCGTCGTAAACCTCAATCTCCGTTGTTTATTGATTCGCTTGATCTTTCATTTCGGTACTCATTTCAGTTGCTATCCCCAACTGTCCTGGTAGCTCTGCCAAAGGAAGGGGACATCGGAACTAGCTACCTCTGTCTATGGGCACAGTCAACCGCTGTTAATTATTCGACCGGCTACAACTCTGCAGTGGTACTTCTTATCGAAAGCAAGAAAGGAAATCATGGGCCTCAAAGCCGCTGTATCGGACCGAGATGCCCTTCTCAGGTCCGTCATCGCAGGATACATATCAGTTTTCTCTTTTATTGTTCTTTCACAACAAGCGATTTTAGACATTGAGAAATATCCCATTATAAGAGCATGGAAGAATGGAAGTATGTTTGATCTAAAGGGAAAGGGCAAAAGAATGATACAGCCTCCCGACTCAAATTAGTGTTGGCCTGGCACTCTTAGTAGCTTGACGATCCCCCCATCCCCGCAGAACAGCGGGTTTTGACCATTTGACCAAGGCGCGTATTCCAACCTGGCGCCCTTGTCGACTAGAAGCTTGATAATGGTCTCATGCCTATTGTCAGCTGTATACTGCAGCGGTGTTGGATCATCTGCGGGTTGTAATCTAGCGCCCTGGTCGACCAATAGCCTGACAATAGCCTCATGCCCCCCCTTGGCTGCGAATGACAACGGTGTTCGACCACCAACATGTGCAGATTCCAGGCCAGCGCCCTTGTCAATCAGTAGCTTGACAATGGCCTCATGCCCATTCTCGGCTGCATATGACAACGGTGTTCGACCAAACTTATCCACGGATTCTAAGCTGGCGCCCCTGTCAACCAGCAGCTTGACAGCAGCCTCATACCCGTTCTCAGCTGCGTATGACAGCGGTGTTCGATGATAAAAATCCACGG